TAACCCGACACCATCGAAGGGAATCTCGCTTCAGCAGAATACCGAAAAAACATGTGATCAGCCCACTGCTGTCCCATTGGGATTAGTGGAAAAGGAGGTAGAAAAGGAGGTAGTCGAAAAGGTGTCAGGTTWAAAGATCTCCRGAAAAGGAAAGGAAGAACCAYATGGAACAAGGCCACAAGAAAAGGGAATTCAACAGGAGGGGGGAGGAGTGAATCCAAGGGAAGGAACAGAGTCGGACAAAGGGATCCAGCAAGAACCAAACAACGAAAAGGAAGTTYCCGGAACTTTGAACAAGGAGCCCAATAACAGCAACGTCAGCACTGACAGGAAGGAGAAGGAACAGACGGTCAGCGAGYTGAAAAACCCAGAGAAAGGAKTCACCAAAGATCCCTCTGTTGAGGAGGAGGAAGACACTATGTCTGAAGCATCCTACCACTCGTATGACTCGTCAGGTTCAATGGATGAGGCAGCCCTACCAAAAGAAAAAAGAGGAAGGACAGAAGAAGGTGAGGGCGGTAAGGATGGGAACAAAGGCACGACRCCGAGGTTGACGAGACAGTCCAAAAAAACGAAACCCTTACCTGTTACAGAAAGCTCAACCTCMAMGAATAAATATTTYGTTCCGCTTATCTGCCGCCAGACGTCGAAAGRGGTAAGATTTCTCACTTACAGCAGGGAATCCAGCATCAAGCACCTTACCCCCTTTGTCGTGACAAGTAACCCCAGCAAGTCCACGATGCTAGAGAAAGTGAAAAACTACCTGGGCCCAAAGGTGGCAGTTCGACAGGCGCCGGCAATCGGCTCACGAAAAATGGTACGGCCGAATTCAACAGGAAAAAAAGTGCACATTTTCATGGCGGCCTTCGATGTCCGCCCGGCAGAATCAGAGTTAGCTGAGCTAGAGTCCTGATATGCGTTTTGGTGTCCGCTAGACTGGGCTAAAGAGGAGAAGGTAATTCACTCAAAAATGATTTATACGGTGGATGCAATCTCGGGGGATGTGATCTTAGAGTACAATCAACAGCTTGCAGCAGATTACAATCTATTCGCAGACTTTTTTGCAAGGCTCCTATCCTCTCCATGGGCAAACAATTCAGAAGGGACAGCTCTGGCAGGTCATAGGAGGCGAAAATCAAGCTTGGGTTTGCTACAGTCCGAACAGGAGAGAATGACAAACAGCCCTACCCCAGCTGAAGAAGAAACAACAACGGAAATGATCGAAGTAGAGAAGGTTTCACGTTTTCCCTCCCCAGACATCTCCCTCATCAAAAGCCCAGAGGTTGTGAAGCCCAATGTCTAAAATTAGGCTTGGGTCATGGAATGTCCGGGGGTTGGGAGATAGCAATGACAACCAGA